GCACCCTAGACTGTTTGTTATAATAAAACTGCTAATTTCCTGAGGTGGCATGTCGAGCTCGATTGCCCCGGCCGTCCAAACGTCCTTTCGCGCGCGGTTTGCGAACCATGCGAGATAAAGGGTGCCGGGAGGAAGTGACGCGAGATAAGAGCTTTACGGCTGGGCACCGGCGCGGTTTTACGTCGCACAGTTTAGATGAAAACGCGCTGCCATGACGAATCCCGCTAATCGAGAAACACGAATGCGATTACGCCACGGCGCCGAGAATATGTACGTCGCCGTCGTAATGTCCCGTCGTGTTTGCTAAATATTCGCGATTCGACGCGCCGTGTTTTCGCTAGTTTTAGCCCCCCTTTAAGCCCGTCTTCTTCGAGAGGTCAAACGCTGAATTCCCGAGGTGAAAACAGTGTGATGTATCACGTCGTAACAAAGAGTGATCTCGTTCTTATCTGTAAGTTTGCCTGCTTCGCACTATGATGAATTCACGAGCGTAGTACAGACGCGATACACTGTACTGTACATCAGAGAAACACACTAATGACTACATATTTGGGGCATTGCATTTTCAAAATTAAAGTGTTGACCGAAAGACAAAAAAAAACCACAATCCATAACATTTAAATTCAAATTGTTTCGGAATAATATCGACCCAAGTTTATGGAACTTTGCAAACAGCAAGGGACTCTCTCTCTCTCTCTCTTTTTCATTCCGATGTTACCCTCTCTCAATCAACAGTAAAAATAAGTTGCATCGCTTTCCGTGCCGTCTGTTCATTGTACAGCAGTGTACCGAGTGTCGTAAAATAAAATTACGCGATCGGCAATACACAACGAGTTAGTAGGCCAGTGGAGCGTTCGGCGCACAATAACCAGAAGCGCGCAGAACCTCTTGAGACCCGCGCTGTGTCTCTCCGTTTCGTCGGCTATGAATATTCTGAGGAGGGCAGGAGCGATGAAGGGGAGAGGTGGAAAATAGACGGGAATGACCGACGGTATATCGCTTTTACCGCGCGATATACCCGGCCGGCGTGTGCATAAATGTCACGTGCATTAACGATAACGCTCGATATTCGACCGCAGGTCTCCGTGCCGGAGGAGGGCGAGGACAAGGGACCAATTTGCCCTCCGCTTCCAGCGCAGTATCAACCGGCAGCCTACAGCACGACGACGCCGCAGCTGCACAAACCCGTCACGGATTACGGCGGTTGGTATTAGAAAATGTACATTCAAGTCTTTCCGTGCGATTTGATTGGTTCGGTCCGTTGTTGGATTACGATCGTACTCGCGCCACTCAAATACGCGTGTACTCGAAGACGTTGCGCGAGTCCAATTGCTGAAAGACACTTAAGAGATAATCGAGCGTTGAATTAAGCTTTTTCCGGATACTTTTAAAATCTGCCCCTTTAATTTCATCAGTAATACAAATACTTTCGCAGTTCTACATCTTCTATTGCTTTTCCTTCGTGTACTTAATTTCAACTTTTACTTCATTGTAATTTGTACTTTACTTTAACTTTTATTTTTACAAAAACTTTTGTCCTAAATAGTCCTATTGTGAGCTCTTTTTAACTTTTCCAATGATCATCGATCTGTTATAATGTTATTAGTGTTATTCGAAATTAGTACGAAATTAGTAATCTTTAAATAATTAGAAATTAGTAATTAACAATAATATCGGAAGTCGATCCTGATTAGTCGTCCAATTTCGCTAAAGACGTTTTCACTTCTGTATCCGCTCGACTTGCCCTCCGTATCGGCATGGATAGTTTCGTGTTATCGCGGGAATTCTAACGGACTGTCCCGGATGACGGTCAAGCCGAGGTTTCGAATCTCCGCGCCTGGTTTCGCCGCGGCCGCACGACGTAGTTGGAATAGTCGACAAACTATTCCGTTGCATCCCGTAGTTGGCACAGCTTGCCGGACACAACGGGAGTTTACGGAGAAACTGTTCGTCGCGTCGCGCGATCTCGCTTAACCGAATTAGAGTAAGGTCTTTGATTAATTAGCTATCGAAAGCTGTGACTTATCGACATCTTGGGATTTCATTTTTCGGGTTTCCGCAAACGTCGCAGGCCTGCGCGAAGCGATACGATAACAATAATGCTGTAATAAATTGAAATAGATATTTCTCTCGCCGTTGCTCCCGAGTTAGAACTTCGCTCGTTGACTGGCGAGTTACGCGGCGCACCGCTCCGAGCGACTCGTTAAAAAATGGTAACAATCTCTCCCAAGACTTCGAAACTTAACGCGAAAGAACAGGAACGTCGGCGATTCTTCTCGTCCGCAACAATAACCGTGATTATATTTTTAACTTTGTGGAATTTCTTGATTCTTCGCCGTCTCACGCCGCCGCTCGGACAGGAATCACCGAGGTGCAGCCGGTTATACCGCTCCTGCTTAACTCAACGATCAATCTTGCCAGGCCAATTCCGGCGGTCCAAGAATATCCTAACCCGCCGCCCATACCACCTCCGCCGGAAAAGTATTACGCCAGTACGGAGATCTGTAAGGTGAGTCGCAAAAATGTACGGTAGACATGCGATCCGCGCCGATTAAGCCTTCCTGTAGCATTAATGCGAGTACTTCGAACGCGAAACTGTGTCAAACACCGTCTCGTGACTGTCGGATCTCCGTCACGATCGCCGAAAGAAGGAAAAAGAGGGAGAGTAGGGGGAGAGCAACCTTGCGATACCGGCCACTCAGGCTTATGTAAATTACGAGGTTAATACGAATATTATACCAATTGAGACTTTTCAATTTTCGCTTTCTACGTTCTATAAAATGATCTAAACGTATGCGCCAAAATTTCCGCTTTGGCGGTGAAGCGCAATGTGAAATTGTTCCGAAAATTTCGTTGACATTGAAAAATTGAATACCTTTCTAAAAATTGTTTGAAAAATTGATTGTGTTATTGGTAACTTTTGTAGCGTTGGAATACGCTCTGTTTAACAACCATTTAATGTCGCGCAAAATATATTTTGACGGTATATTATTGTATCGACTTCGACCTAATCTCGTTTTCAACTGGGCTTGTTTACTCTGCACAATATGCACGACGCAAAATACTTCATCCTGTGAATTATGAGGATTAATGACCGAAAAACGAGGAAACAACGGAGCACTATCAATCATAACTACCGCGAAGAAAACGTCTTTCGTGGGCATACACAGATTATAGAGCGATAATGTAAAGGGCGTGGTTATTGATTACAGTAGTCCCACGAGGCATGTTTGTATTTTCATTTGATTATATTATTAAATCTGATTATTTTATGGAGAAAAAGCAAAATATATTGAAAAGGATGCATCGTCATCGTATTTCGCACTATTAATGTCATAGCATTTTTTTGTAATATGATTTTATTTATGAATCATTACTCATAAAGTTTTATGTATATAGCTTTTAAAACACGTAATATTTATATTTCAAACTAACATTGATTTTTGTTACAAGTTTTTTAGGCGTTTTCTATAATAAACAATAAAGAGAAGAATTTATTCTATCTTCTCTATTCATGCCATTTTTTATAGAACACAATATATTTTTTTCATATGTTTCGAAGAATTTCATCCGATGTGTAAAAGTGTTTCAATATATGCGTTCACATAGACAGAGTAACCGCATTTTAAAGAGAAATAATAATAAAAAATAATAAAAAGAACTGCATAACTAAAGAAAAAAAGTAATTGTTCCCAATTTTTTATGTTTGCTATCGCAGAGCCCTTTACCGCCCCTGCCACCCTCGCCGACACCGAGTACACCACCGCCAATGAGTGCAAAAGCCTCCAGCAGTATGACGAGCTACAGTCCGGAGGATATGCTCACGGAGGAAGAGGAGGAAATACCCGAATGTATCCTCGACTTCCCGCGAGAGAAACTCAACATCGTTGAAAATCTCGGTTGCGGATACTTCGGCGATGTTCACCTCTGCGAGGTCGACAGGTTTCCTGGATACGATGAGGTCTTCAGGAATACTTCCAGCGACCTGGTTGTTGTTAAATCCCTAAAGCCAGGATCTTCCGATGCTCTCAGGTAAGAATTATACGCAAATCTTACTTGATTTAGATAAAGATATAAAAGCGCGTCTCGCAAATCACGAAATAGATTTATTTTTTTCGATAATACGTCGAAAAACGTTCATTGCGATCGCATAATAACAAACGCCGTTCTAAGGCTTTTGAAATATTGTCTTCCTTATAATTAAGAAAGTTTATCAGTCAAATATTAAATTAATATATCTAGATGATGAATAATATTTAATATGAATCTTTGCGTCTACGGACCACTTTACATTTCGACTCCACCATATGATAAAGATCGAACTATCGCCCTTAAATTTGAATAAATGTATGCACTTTATACGGAGCTTTGATCCTTGAGAGATAACCGCTATGCAATAAAAATGAAAACGGAAGTACGTATAGAGATCGATCGGCGATAGAAAATTATTCCGATAGATTATAGAACGCCGCGTTAACGGCGTAATTCAATAACGCGGCGCAAAGTGATTCCGAATGTAATGACACGTCGTGCGCATTAAGTAGATGTGACCGGATAATGCGGAAGGGCTTTAAGCGATCGATGATTGGCATGTAATCGAATAGCCCGTCTGCGCGCGCGCGTGCATACCCACGTCAATATAATTTTTCTATAAAGCGACGAGTCCCCCCCCTCCCCTCTCTCTCCCCCTCCCTCCCGCCTTTAGAAAATTTAAAGCCCCCTTTCTGTATAACACGCAGTTTACTGATTGCCAGTATGAGGTATTTGTCAATAATTTACGCTCAATATTATTTGCGTGTCGCAATTTTCGAAATCCCGACCTAAATCTCACTATTTACACGACCTACTTAGCGAACCAGCGCATATACGCAATATACGCGTGTGCCACCTTTTTTCAATAGAATATTTGAAATTTCGCATTGATCACAACGATACCGCGATACCATTCTATTTAATTTTATTGAATATAATATTATATGGAGAAAATTGTTATTCAATGCATCCTCCCTCTCTCTCTCTCTCTCTCTCTCTCTCTCTATAATGAATACAAAACGAATAAAATGACTAAAATGAATAAAAAGTATGGATCGTAACGCGAAATATCTCGGATTACACGACATATGTACGTAATTACGCGTTATCTATAATTACACATAGTTCAACGTGTCATATCAATTCGATTCATTTGGAAAGCACACATTTGCTTTTATAAGACCGATTTCAAAAGAATATAGAATTCCGATGCGCACGCGAAAACAAAGATTATTCTCTGTAGCACTACATCAACCAATAAAAGACTTCCTTTTATTACATTCGCTATTGCAGCGCTTTGTTCGTCCAGCGATTGTGATTTTCATTCGGAATAGGCCGATAGAGATAGAAACAGGCGGCGGAGCGTGTCGTCCCGGATTCACCGGTCCGACGACGCGTTGTCGTCGCAGTTGCGAAAGGATGATCCCCGCAGACAGGCTCACGGATGGCATTGTCTACAAAACACATTTTGCTGACTGGGAAAAGCCTGCGGAACCCATGTCGTCACGCAAAACGGATGCAACTCATGTTAGAGCGCAATACTGGGGACTATTGCCGAAGGGCGGCCTTTATCCTTTCGGCGTCATCCCTTTACTGCAACATTCCGGAAAAATCCGTCAATCCAACCTGTCTGATAGATTTTCAATTTTTGATCCTATTACATTTCCTGACAATTGAATTTTTCCGTGGACAAAAGAATATCTCTTCTTCTTTTTTACTTCGATGTTTTGGAATATTAGGCGGTCATTTTCATGTCACGTCACACGCGCGTGTTTTGCAAAGGAAAAATGTGTCCCGGCGGTTTCTCAAATATTAATATGACGCGTAGAGCAATGCGACGCTGATCTAGCAAATGTGTATCTCGTCAATAAACCTCAATGTTATAATACGCCGCATTTATCCGAAATATATTCGTGTTTGCTTCTCTTAATGAAAGCGTACTCGTCCATGCAAATGCGCGTTTGAAGCGCAGATGTCAATGAAAATGCAAAATTTTAATTACCTACACAAATGTCGCGAATTACACGGTTCTACCATAACGTTTATGAAATAGCGGTTACTTTTCACGGTCGAACAAAATTGATTATTCAACTGCGGAATAATAGATTGATTCATTAACCGCATACTGCATGTAATATGTATTCTTCGATAATGATTTATGACACAAGATGACAATTTTGCCGGTATCAAAAATGTTCACAAAATTATAAACCCAGACTGACGAATTGATGGATTTTCCCGGAATATTGCAACCAGTAAAATGAAAAAAGGATGCAATAAATTCGATACAGCTTGTTGAATTCTTATCGAATCTATAAACCGTCCAATAAAATGGTTTCGTTCGAAATCGTTCGGACTTGCCGGAATTTACTCGCATGTCTAACGCAATAGACGCGGGGTGCTTATTCTCATTCGTGACTGGTATTATAATCCCACCGGTAAGTCCCTCCTTTCGTTTGCGTTTTCGCTTCGCCGTATCTTTTTCCCATTTTTCCTTTCCGCGAGACGGCAAACTTCCGAGAGACAAGCGAGCTAGATACTAGAACCAGAGCATTTCCGGCTTACACACATATCCGGTAAACGTATTCAATGTTCATGGCCTTGGTACCGCCGGCGCCCATAAAGATATTATTATACTTCCGGATGCGCTTCATGTGTTTTCTAGGATAGAATTTCAACAGGAGGTGAAGAGGCTGGTACGACTCGCCGATCGAAATGTCGCGCGGCTACTCGGTGCCAGTCTCGAGGACGATCCCATGTGCATTGTATTGGAAAACGGCGAGTGCGGGGATTTGAATCAATACCTCCAGAGCCACATCGCCGAAACCTCGAACCTGCACAGCGCAAAGACGCTCAGGTACGATACACACGATATCTTTGGTTAACTTCAGTTAGTTCTCTAGTTTTAACAATTAATATGATTAAATCTGAAACGTCGATCGCATTCGAGACGCATACTTTAGTTTTATTAATCCGCTGACGATATACAGACGATCGTAGCATCGTTAACACTTCAGATATTAACGCATATTTCATCATCGAAAGCGCGCCATTCCCTAATAGCCCTTGGTTGTTCATAAATATGTGCCACTACGTTTTTGAGAGATCGTTTGGGAATTCGATTTCGCACGCGACCGAAGGTATATAACGAAAAATGCGTACGTGTCGAGGATGACCGTTATTCGAGTAATTAACATAATTTAATGAGCACAAATTTGATATTATGGCGCAGAATAATTTGTAACATCAGTACTATTGCGTCATTTTAAAAGCGATACATTAGCAATGTCCCGCTTTAACGCACACTGCCAATCGGCATTACGGGTCTCGAAGTAAATAACGCATCATCCGAAATAGATATTATGCAATTATGTGATCATCATCATTTTGACATAAAATCAATGAACCATATTTCGACGTGTTCCAAATTTTATATTAATACAATACCGTACAAGTTACACTCATTGTACTATCGCTCTTTTAAATTGTTAATAATAAAACAATTTAATTAAAACTAATAACATATCCATTTAATTAATTAATCGCAAATTAAAACGTCGTGTTTTACATCAATTGATTTTATTAATTAATCAATTTAAAAAAAATGAAAATATCAAGATTATTATTATCGTATTAATTATGGTGTTCCTTCGTCGAGATTGCTGGCGGAAAGCCGCTTATGTTTTAGCATTGAATACGCGTAGAGTAATTTGCATGATGTGGAAATACTATTTTGCGCGCTACCATAAATGCGCGAAGCATACGAGCAACTCGACAATAGACACCCCGGTTGAACGCGATCGCGCGAATTTTTGTTTTATTCTGTCGCCACGAAGAACGTCAGTTCCAATCACGTCCGGAGGGCGCGTGAAAACGCGCGATGGCCAGGACTATGCGGAAAGTACTCGAAATACGAGAAATCGGCTGAAAATGAGAGGTGAGCGACGGAGAGGATTATCGGTGCTCGTGACAGGTGTCGGCGGAGCGTGTTTTCCCGCGCGATCGTTTTCAGCTTTCGCGCGAGATGAAGCAGCCGCCGGAGATCTCACTTTGTTCTCGTCGAGTGCCGCGGAAAATATTGATGCGCAGAATGTTTAATAATTCGTGTGCGTGCAATGTGCGAATTGTATTTCAAAATCGTAATAGTAAATAGTGAAAACAATAGCTTTGTAACATCTCACGCTTCTTGTCCTGCGAATTGAATCTTTGGATTTTATAATTCTCGACGTTACGTACACATTATTACGACACGAAAAAGTTGCTGTGTCAATCATGATCGTTCATTGAATAATCCGCGTCCATCGCGCGTTTTTACGCGTCTTCCGAACGCGATTATAGACGTATGTTTTCTATCAGAATGATATAATTACTACAAGAATCCATAATGCTAATTGTCCGCGCGAATTGTGCGGTTTTACTGCGCGCGTTTTAAATACTGGCGCATTTGAATAACTTATGCTTTCGCAACTACACATCTGCGTAATGTTTTACCCTGAAGTTGTTAATTAAATTGCCGACATATGTACTGTCGTTCATAAACGAAACCGTTTTCATTTATTTCCGCGAATCGTCGTTTTAACTGCAGTCAGTTCGTCGCGCGACGAACGAATCCAATATCCAGAAGCGACATAATAGCCGTGCTTTCAGCACGGCCGTTTTCTACGTAACCGAATCGCATTTCGCCGACGTCGCAAATGAAGCTTTAAGATTTGCGACGCTGAGTCATACGGAAAATTTTTACACGGCGCGATATTAGACACGCCTCGCGCCACTGAAAATTCGCGTCTGTTTCACAGTAAATTGACCGTAGTCAAAAATTAAACTCCATTCGTGCAGTTAACATACATATCTTGTATCGTAAAAAGAATTGAATGGCGTTAATGGCTCGATATTTTTGATAAGAAAATCAATTGCAAGCTCATCTTTGTCGATTAATATTGAAAATATTGTTAAATAATTAAATATACTATTAAATAATATTAAAGTCGCGAATGTAAGGCATATATATGTATGTGATACTATTTTGACGAAATATTCTTCTTCTATTCTACAACGTGTTTGAATGCTTCCATTCTTCAAGGACATTTATATAATTTAACCGATAAGATAAGAATACATTAACGTATCGATGGTTTTTTTCTTGTAATCCTTTTATATATTACTGCTCGTTTGATATGTATATGGTATATGTTTATCTCGTAACAACATTAAGTGTTCCGATCAGCTTGGACAATTTAATGTCCGCACTGTTTTTATTTTATATAAGGCACAAACAATGAACAAAATTGCTTATTCACAATGAGTTTATTTGTATCACTTATTGTACATTTGCAATCACTTCTCCTTAACTGTATTATTGCGAGGACAACGCCTAGGGGTTAACCTGAAGTTACCCTGAATCCCCGATTATATCGAATAATGTTGTAAGGACAACGCCTAGGGATGAGCCTAAACTCACCCTGAGTCCTCGGTTAGACCAACCCGTTAAATCGACCGTTTCCACCGGACTTGTAACGTACTCGTATAAGACTCGTATTCGTATAATTTTCGTACTCGTATATGACCGACTGTTCACTTCGAGAGCTACTACGCGAATATTGAGAAACGGAATGATGCGCGCCGCCACCCAGAGATCTTAGGACCTCCTCTAATTTTATCTAATTGGTGGTTATCAGTCTAAGATGCCGTGATTCGTCGATGTCGCATATGAAAAGTGGTGGCCACCACAAAAACAAACGCGGCGGCTCAAGGTAATGGCGGATAGCGTCACGGCGGTCCTAGCGCGGTAAACAAAAAACGCGGCATATCGAAGACGCCGCTATGAAAACATATTTATATTAAGAGATTTACAAGCCGGTATCGGAAACGTATTTATGAGAATATATATTCGTTTGTCGGTCAAACCATCTGTCATGCATGACATTTTATAGCGTTTACATAACATTAAGTGCAGAAATAGAAGGACGACACGCTACCAACGGAACGACTCTCTATCGGCGTATCTCTCGCAGAAATACCACGCAGGATCGTTCTGACGCAAATGGTTTGCGTCCCATATACTAGAAGTGTAAATAGTAAAAACATAGTACCCAGCTATCTATGTTCTCAGTGAACGCAAACGAACGCAAACGCTTGATCGTAACTAACGCGTACGCTTGTTGCACTTTGCTCAATTTTTAAATTCAATTTACCAGAAATGGAAATAATAGCAAAGCCTGGAAATAAAGGGACTTTGCAATTTGTTCCACCACAAATTGACAATATGCGGAAAATTTCAAACTTGCAATCTAGAAAGCAAGCATAAGCTCTTTTACATGGAAAATAATTTACAAAATATTTTTCTATTAAGAGAAAAAGAATTTACGTCATCCCTCGTTGAAAGCGTTAATTTATAAACAGCGAGCGAAACGCGTGTGATTCGCGCCTTCATGCACGAAGGACGAGAGCTCGGTTTATTCGGAGCCATTAAATTTACATACTTTTATAAAGCAGCTCAAGTCAAGTAATAAGAGTATTTTATTTTATCACTTGTGCTAAAAATATTGCTCGACTATAGCCGCGTTAGAGTGTCCGCCGTTTGTGGCGTTGCCACTGCAAACACCTCGCCTATGTATACTGAGGAGTTTCTGCGAGCAAACTTCACGACGTAACCGACCCTGTGTTCTTCTTGTTGCAGTTTCGGCACACTGGTTTACATGGCCACGCAAATAGCATCCGGCATGAAGTATCTTGAGGAAATGGACTTCGTGCATCGAGACCTTGCCACAAGGTAAGCGTGCGCTATTTCCCATAAGTTGCTTTGAGGGCTTGCTCATTAATGAACAGTTGTTGTTGCCGTATTATTGGTCTGCTGGTTTCGAAAGCAAAACTAAACACACACACACACCGCAAAGCCCGTCAATCTTCCTTCCGTCCCAGCAAGAATATATGAGAGTGAATGCAGAGAAAAAAAAATGATAAATGTCTCCGATGAATCAACCAATTCTTTTTTTTATGCTGGTACAATGAATAAAACAAAAGCAATCTTTTAACATTTTCTAAATATGTTTTAAATGCATTTGAATATGCTTAAAATGTATATTTTAAAAAATATAGCTTTTTATATACATAGATTTACGGGAGAACGCTAATTGAAAGAAATTAATACGCGATGTTTCTCGTTACATTTATATTCCTAATAATTAGAAATTTATGATGTAAATGTACGAAATAACGTAATCGAAACAATGCATTTGACGTGGACGCAGGCCTTTGTTTAAACGTCCGTTAAATTCTATCGATCTTAAATTCATTTCTAAGAGATCGCTTTAATCTCCGCTCGCAATACTTCGCGGCGATCGCCGGATGAAATCGTTTTGGGCATCAAACAAACAAACAAATACATACTGCATTGAGTCTTTCTGTAAGCGCAGGAAAGCATGCCTCCGGGCATTTTACGATGCGATTGCTTTATTACAGTGGTCGATTGTTTTATCATCTCACTCCCCTCCTACCGTTTATATGCGTAACGATTCCGTTTGCCCCCGAACCATGCTTTCACCCTCTACGCGATTTGGAAACTCTTGAACCCCGACAACGCCGGCAGCGCAGCACGACAACCAATATCGCAGAGCTATTAAAAGCAAGGGAGAAACGGGATGCAGAGAGGGACCGGTGGGGTTCGAGGTCACGTGTTCGAATTATTAACTCTAATCGTAAACCTTAATTATCATGCCCCTTCAGGCGCGATCGTTGTCGCTGCAGTAGCAAGGGTACAAGAAAAGCTAGACGAAAGGGGCGAAATTCATAGGTGATTTATAGAATTGGAGAATTTAGGACTAAACGATCCACCCAAATAGCAAACGGTTCTCCTGTTAGGAAGTAAACAAGTAAACACATTAAATAGCAACTACGAAAATTACGCCACCGGTAAAATGTAAACAAAGTGAACAGCATTAAGATCAGCTTTTCAAACATGCGAGATAAACCGGCTTCTTTTTTTATTCGCGTCGGGAATGTTATATTCATTTGCGTCGCATATATCACATATATATTTCAAAATATTACATATTTTTTATTTATTTTGCATTGGAATTCAATTTTGTAATCTCCATTAACTTTTACCGTAGTGTATCTTTATAATTCGTATGTATGCGTTTTATGTAAAATTTTAATCAACAGTGAGCTAAATTATACAAACTATCATAACAGATATATTCGTGCATTCTGTAATTCCAAAAATCATAAAAGCATTATTGCGTCTGAATGTCCGATGAAACAAAAAAGGTTTTCACGATGCCAGAAGTGGAAAAACTTGCCGGCAAATCTGGCAGACATTGACAACGAGTGTGAAAAAAAGTGCCCACCGGTGCACATAAAATAAAAACGTCATGGCGACTATTAAACCATCCCCGTGCGAGTCATCTTGCCGTGGAACGCGATAAACGACGAGGTTTATGCGCAAATCAGCGCAAAACTTCAAACGACCGCTACTACTCGTGATGTGATCGCGACATAAAGGCATAAGCTGCTTAACCCTCGCACGGCGTGTTTGCATTTTGGTTTTGTTTGCATCACTCGAAAAAAACATTTCTTCCTTCGATCTGGCAATGTAAAAGCGAAACTCCACTACAGATCCGAATGGACTCTATCTGCTGTGCGATTAGCCAAGCAATTCGCTGTTTAGAATAAAACGCGAGCTTTCGAGAGTTTGCATTGATCGCAAGATTGTAAAATCTGTTGAAAACATTGTTAATTTATTCTTTTATTTGTTAATTATTGAGTAATTTTATTTGAGTAAATAAAGTTCTATTTTTGTCATCTGATATTACAAAAATGCTAGTTTTTTGTATTTGCTTTAATTATTTTATTACAATAATATATATATCTCGATATATATTGTAGTTATATATAGAAGTAAACTAAAAAAAGTTAGTATAGAAAAACCGTTTTTCAGAAAAATCATAAACTGGAAAACTAGCGTTTAGTTATGCGTGTGTGATATTTCGATAAACTGCTCTGTTTGTTTTTGATACGGCTACCGCTTGCAGAATATAAAAAATAGAGCACACAAACACATATTCATTTAGCCGTATTTGATACGGAGAATACCGAGCCGATAGAATATTGCAGCTGTACGGTTAGTACAGAGATCTCATGGCCAGCTTTAATAAAAAGAATGGAAGTGTTAATTTGATAAAAAAAATAATTCTATTGTTCTCGGTGAAATTCGCGAAATGGAAATATTTCGAAAAAGAGCTTCGCAGAATATTAAGAGGCGAATATTTTTGAATATTTTTCAGGAATTGTATAGTGTGCCGCGGATGCACCATTAAGATATCTGATTTGGGCTGTGGACGAAGCGCGTATGCGGCGGATTATTTCCGCGTTGAAGGACGTCCTCCATTACCGATACGATGGATGGCATGGGAATCGATGCTAATGGTGAGTGCACAATGAACGCTTACTGCACATTTAAACACTATATATATTTTAACTCCATGTCTCGATATTTTTCGCCTTCGGGCATCAGGAGATTTTAGCGCTCGGCGCGATACAGATCTCCGCGTGCGCTTTTTTTTCCGAAAGCTTTCGATTTAGCTGGGGCGCTCACGCGTTAGCAGCAATAAAGATCGGCGATGCGAAAAGTTCGATAGAATTATAGATAAAAACAGAAGATAAATCAAATTGCCGCAAACGACTTTCACTCGTAAACGGGCGAAATAGAAAAGAGGGGGCGGAACGGGTACGCGTCGAGTCGTTTTGATTTCACTCCATGCGTGAATGTGCCGTTTTGACGAACTACGGCTACGCATCCCCGCGATGAAATCCGGTTTTGCTCGGGTACATACTTTTTTTTATTGTTTTTTACATCCGGAAGTAAAATCTACCCGGCCGTTATGTATCGCGCGTTGCCCAAGTCGCGGACATTTTTTCACTATCCATTATAAATACACATCACGAACGCTACGGCAAAGAAGCATATCATCCCTTATAAATTTATAAATACGATAAATCCTGTTTTCGTTATTAGAAAGTTACATTTCGATACGATTATCGTTAACAATCTTGGCTCGCATGTGTAGAGAGCCACAAATTGTACTTTGCTCTGTTGTCAATGAATCTATGATGTATTTGCCGATATTTCCATCTCTTAAACGAATTTGTCAATTGTGTCATGTCGAATGGGAATTAATATCAATTACCGAGTATTGCGCAATAATTGATTTCGGAATTAATTGTCTTTCTTATTATTTTGTCCTTTCCAGTACAAACTGTATTAAAGATTCCTGTTTCCCAAAAATAGAACTTTTTTCTGAAGTCCGTTGTTTACAAAAGATGTTATTACAGAACGGAAATTAAGTTTCACATTTTATTTAGTATATCTTGTTTTTAATTTCTCATTTGTCGCGGCCAATATTGAACTGTCGATCCGCGAAACCACTCGACATCAGGCCGATAGAGCCGTCTGCGGTCATGTTGGTATTAGCGAATTGAGCTTACCCATCGCAGCACACGATACGCGTCATTGAGCTATAAAAGTGCCGGAGAAAATATGCGATACGCGTTTGGAAATTCATTTTCGATGTTGAGCGGCTTTTTCGGCTTAACCGTTCAACAATTCAAACACAATCGTTCCGCTTCACGTGGTTCGCGCCGAACACGACGGTTTCTGTTGTCGTTACAACGTGGATGGCGATGGAAGATATTCGCGTTTATTCTTTGCAAAAATTTGGGAAATACCCGCCAACTGGGATTCGGCGAAAAAGGTAAGCTATTTCTGCTGGCACTTAAAAGCGCTACGAGCGTGCCGTATCAGTAGAGAGCATCCGCGCTGTGGTCAGACACCGCTGATATAACGAATAGATTATAATTGATATTTACACGACGCGACCCATCGTATAAATTGAAATAAAAGACCCAAAAATTCAAGTTTTTAAAAGTTTAAAACATTATTCATAGCGATTTGAACGGAAAGTTTCAATCGCTAAAAATTTTAACGAACTATTCTCGAAACTCGGGCATAAGATTAAATATTCGCTTAAATATACAGAAACCTAAAAAAAGTGTGACGATTTACATATTTCATTTAATGACACAAAATTTTGAAAATAAACATTTTCTCTAAAACGATTATGCAAATATTCAAAAGATTTTATGAATAATCCAACTTTCAAACATTATAAAATTGTTATTGCTTCTCTTATATATTCTTTCACTTTGTATTTTATATACTTTTTTTTATAAAATTAAGTATACATTTCTCTATTTGAAAAATTAGTTATATATCTCAAGGATATACATTTAATTTTCATAATTTATATAATTATTCATAGAGATATATTGACGTTTTATTTTTTGTTGTCATTTACGGAAATCATATATGAATCGTAACTAATAGCAAATTAATATCAAAATGGTAATTCGACGAAACAGAAACGAGGATGGGAAATATAGTATTGAATAGCTAGTTGGCATTGTCGTTTCAAAATGACTGCACCATTAATGTTTCATTATTGCTCATCATTTATCCGACCTCTACTATTGCGCCGCGCTAATTAAACGACCCCGTTTCTACGCGCGAAATACCGCTTCAAGAATTATCCAGGATTAGCATCGATTTAATGGTTTCACGATCGCATCAGATCTTGCAATGATAGAAATCATTGTTCATGAGAGCGGTCATTCACTGATCGTGCATCGTACAGTTTTTAAGTCGATATGCTCGTTTAAGATTTCGGAATAAAATGGTTATGAAATTATCTAGAATGTTTATGAGTAAAATGTGATGTTTGAAAATATGAGAATCTAATTTATATTATTTGCAGCGTGTAACTGTACTCTTATTTTATTTCTTCTATGGCCTGTTGCACACAGGACGCATTACGCGTGGCAAGCGGCGACGCGATAGCCAATCAACTTACAGCTTTACCGTAAGAACAAAAGATCGATTGGCGTCGCATCCTGTGTACAAAAGTCCTATTACATTCATAAAAGATGAATGCCTAATTAAACATCATATTCTATACGCGAACATATTATTTTATCATTATTGGTTCATTTCTTGCGTTTATCGTTATTTATCATTATTCAGCTCCAATAATTTAAATTAACGTGCGAGTAATGACGCGTATCTAATTGTGCGTCGTATACTTCATAAATAATCGAATCATGTCTTAAGATCTTCCCACATGCGCGAACTATAAACTCTCTGCACGCATATGCAATCTTCTCAGCATACTACTAGCAGTACATATTACAAAATTTAAGTACTTAAGTCGACGTAATTTTACATCAAATACGCAATCGCTTGTTGTGAATCGATTCAAAATTATGGTAAGGGCAACTGCACAGCAAAGTCTTCCGATTATCTTTTTTATTTATTTTTTATCTTTGCCATTCTTTTTATTACGTTTCTTTCAATCAATAAATACTTAGCTTAAAATGTTCTATCACGTTTTATAAATCTTGATAAAAATGAATAATTACGTATATTTCTTTTATAATTAGCATCTCTTTATATTTCTTGTTTGAAAAAATAATATATCACGGTTGTATCGTTGCCTCGCTGATTTCAATTGCAATTACTATAACTTTGCCTTTGTGTAAGTTATCGTTCATATTTAACCATACAATTATTTTGCTTGACGGATCACACACATGTCAATAGTAGCAAGAAGCATACAACCATTAATGCGAGGAAAAAAGTAAAACCGTGTAACTGCTTTACGACGTTCCGCGAAGCTTGGGCTTAACTAAGTTACTCGCTTGAACTTTGGGAAACTCGAAGGCACACGCAGTTTCCATAAATTACTCCTTCGCTCTCAAACATTAGGTTTCCTTGCTGAGCAAGTTCCGCTTTTAATCTTTACTTTTTTTACGGTTACCAGAATGGGATATTAACATAAATGTGTATTTCGAAAAAAATTGATTTACATTGATACTGTTATTATTAAATATTATTAAATATATATATTATTTTATTAATAATTAACTGCCCAAATAATTAAATGTTAGCAATATTGGCGGGTTGATATTAATTTAATCAAATTTGGTCGTCAAATTTAATTTAATTTGCTGTTAATCTGACAACATTGTCAACATTTTACTTATTAGGGGTCGCACACGTGCACATCTGCGCAAAATGGATAAGAAACTGAAATTGTATATGATTTCAACGTAAGAGGCATTGCAAGTTGTATTGTAGAAAACATTTATCCAATTATATCAGACTATAACAAACTTCAAGCGCTCTTAAATTGCTAATCGTAAAAGTTGCCGCAACAAACGCGTAACGTGCATAACAAACGAACTTTTGTTAAATTTTCTTTGGCATGTTTATATTACGCAGGGAAGGCAGACCTGCAAGGGCGACGTCTGGGCGTTCGCTGTCACGCTATGGGAAATCTTGACGTTCGCGCGGGAGCAACCCTTCGAGGAATTTCCGGATCATCGAATAGTGGAGAACGCGACTTACTTTTATCAGGAGGATGAGCGAAGGGTAAGTGCACAGCGTAATTCTTCGACATCTTTCCCCTCATTGTGTCCGACGTACTTAACTTAATGAGCGCACTGAGTACTTGATTTCACGTCGAGTGCCTCGCGAAGCTTTCAAAGCTTTGAACGCCGCTATTTATTCCGTCTTTCAGACTTCTGATTACCTTACTCTGTACATTCTTACAACGTTACTTCATTATTTGTTCTTATTTTTTTTTTTTTTTTTGTACGCGTCCAGAAACAGTTCTGTAATATTCTGTTTAACGTATTTAAAAAGACAAATTTAAATAAATGCGCACGGTGCCGAATGCGTAATTATAAAACTGGGTCACTTCCTCACCGAGGACACTTTCATGAAAATGGAAAAACTACTTGCCTAGTAATGCATATAACATGATAAATATTGCGTCGCACTCGAATCCGTCGTATTCGCATTTCCAACGTCGACAATGCTTCGAAATAACACGCTTATTATAAGAATTGTTATTCCGCTCTCTCGGTTTTGCAGGCCACAAATATTTATCATTAATTATGAGAATGCGAAATATTCTTTAATCATATTATCTGCTTTGTTTTAATGGTATCGCATTAATATAATGATAAATGTCGCGATCATCTGTATTCTATCATATTCTCTATTTTATCACGTGAAAACACCGTTTATATATTTATTACGTGCGTTTGTTGCATATGATTATAAAATTTAGTTTGCAATATTTACGCAACTAATAAAATCCGACTCGACTTTTACTCATTTTGCACAGATGATATTACCGCTGCCAAAGAATTGCCCTAAAGAGATTTACGACTTGATGCGCGAGTGCTGGCAAAGGAACGACGTCGACCGGCCAACCTTCCGCGAGATTCATTTGTTTCTGCAACGGAAAAACCTCGGCTACAAGCCCGGTGAGTCGAACGATACCTGATACAGAGAACTGGAAGGCTGGAATCTCATCCGGCTTTCTATGATCGGAGAGCTAAACGGCAACTGGTGGAACTGCCCCTCATCGACCAAGCTGGACCAAGTCAGACCAAGTTAGTACCTAGGGTGACGATCCATAAATCGGCTAGAACGGACGTAAATCGTTTGTGACGGCCCGCGGTCATATGCGTCCACCGTGTCGACGATAACCGACATTGTATGACATGATACTACGTGCAAGAAAGAGGCGTAGAAAGCTAACGAGCTGATCGCGTTCAGAACTTTTCGCGGTTCGCGACATTAATATCAGGTTCTTTTTGGTCGTCACCATACATCGCTGTGAATAACGCTGTGACTTTAAATCGATAACCGGTATGAATCGCACAAATCACCGTAGCATCCGTGTTACGAAGACATTATCTGTATAAAATTTGCCTTTTTTTTTACGATTTCTTTACACGAATCAAAGCTACACGAATCGTTATACTGCCAAGAATGAATCGACATCTATCTTATCGGTGTATACATCATCTAGAGAATATTGGCCGTGGAATGTTAATTCTTTTTTTTTTTAAGCAAACTAGTTTTCGACCTGTCAAGTTATTATTTAGCTGACACATCCGTTTGGGAGAGTTCAATTAAACGCGCTCGGTTAATGTGATATATCGCTAGATCTTCCGGTTTGTCTTCGTGCAATTTCTTTTTCATTTTCTCCCGCCGTTGTTAGGTCTGCAAAAGTTACGCGTCGATCAAAGCGGATAGCATTGCGATAATGATCCCGCGTATCCGCGGCGCCGTATCCCACACTCGTGCAATCGAAATGGATAGATTATGATTTTGATCCGCGGCATTCGACACGAAATGGAACGTTACTAGTGCCGGCAATACGCGGGGAGCACGTTCGATAAATCGCACATACGCTGTTCCGAAATTGATACTGTCAGCAAACAAGCTTATGATATTCCCGCCGTAACGGCACTCGCGTCACGTTCGGGATATACGTTGATCGGACGCGAAAATCGCGCACGGTACGTAACATTTCCCCCGACGAATAACGTAGTCGTTTCAAAACTCCAACCCTCGGGGAAAAAAAAGTGATCCTTTACCCGGGATCGGAGTCCATCGACTTTCACGTGGGATTACGTTATCCGTTTTCGGGCCTTTTGTATGTCAGTCTCACATACAGTGTGTTTTGTGAAAGAAACTTGTTTTTTTTTTTATCAAAAAACATAGATCTATATACATGTATACAATTTTTAAGACAATTAAGCGAGTTGTTGTTTTTAGCGAAAGCAAAATCTATTGTGAGTGTATACGATTGAATCGGCTGTAATATTAATCAGTGTGTTTCCGACATTCGACGTAAGCGAAGCTTTTACCGTTTTTATTTTTAAAGCTATCGTTCGAAGAGACAAATGTAAAGACAGGCTAATTATCGTTGATCCAATCGTCGTTTAATTGCGCGACCAATATCCTTGCCTTCGATTCACTCGAATGACGCTTCTCCGTTAACTTTTTAATTGAACACTCGTCGTAGTGGCGTATTGAGAGAATTATACGAACGTCGCTTCAAGGAGCTTATCAATGCACAAAGAATTATGAAGTGGGTTTTGAGAGGAGCGTTCTGTTAAATTAATCAGATCGTTGTGCTGTACAAGAAGCATTTTTCGAAGTATTCGGAAAAAGGAATAATCTTAAGCCGCGAATTTGCGTTAAGTTCTCTTAACTACTATTAAGCTTAAGATGCGCTTAGCCGAAGTGCATAAATGTTTGACAATACCATTAGAGGTTGCAGTATAAATTCATATAGAGTGTGTAAAGAATGTTAAAGGATTAATCAACATTGTAAATTATTAAATCATTCTAAGACCGGCAGTCTGTTGACGGTCGTATCGCATAATCGTTTCGGGGTCGTACGCCCTATCGATTCACAAAACTACGCCTGTGCCCCCTTCGCGCGGTACGGGCGAAAGCCATAAGTTGAATGTATCGTGATTCTAGAAGGGAAAAAAAAGAGAAGCACATGTGACCTGACGTTAAGTTTATAGCGTGGAATAGAGATGAGCGATTTACCCGGTAAATGTTTTTGCTTGATTTGTTGCGCATAAAATCCGTAATCAGATTTACAGATTAATGTTTGATAGAACGCGTCTAATTATTTGTGCATTCCTCGTCGATCGAATTTGTACGATTAACACACTTCTCCAAACTTCTGATCTCTCTATTTGTACAGACACGTGTGTTCCAACGGTGAAATGCATTTCCCAGGTAAATGGCTATCATTAGTTTGACATAATGAAAAGACTTATATACTTGTTAGAGTGATTCTACATGAGACGTATGGCGAAAGGAGGGTAAATAGCTGTGCAAGAATTGACAGAGGTATTTCGTGACGTCCAAGAAAATCTAACGTCGCGTAAATTTCTATACATTGCAGCCTCATTCGGGCTAGGACACACTCATGCGCTCGTGATCTGTAAGATAATTAAAAGTAGAACATATAAACAATGAATGTGTACGGTTAAATAGTTACGCAAAAGGATCCTCTCGTTCCTTTATTACTGTATATTTCGAAGAATTCGCTTCTACAGATCTATGTGAACCAAAGTGATAAGATTACACATTAGCTCTTAACCTCAGATGTGAGTTTATTTAAAAATTTCTTTTATTATTCTATTTTACTACTAATAATAATTCTTTTTCAAAATATACTTAAACGAATATAATATGTACAAACTTTGTCTGTTTCTGTTTCAATTCTTTATAAATATATTATTATTCGAAATTATTTTATCCTTTTAAAAGCGTATATCTAAAAATTGTATTTAAAATAAATGTGATTGCATAATTTTTTAATTATTATTCAAATCGTCAATTAAAAATTTAACATTTTGATTAAGAGAACTAAGTCTTCGTATCTTAATGGCGACAAATAAACGACGAATCAAGGACCTTTTGCACGACTGCATTTGATTTCGTTCGATTTACCGTAAGATTTAATTGTGAAAATGATAAATTTATAATATTGTCTATAACGTTGATAATTTAATATATAAAGTTAAGAACAATAAAACTTAAGGATTACTGCCACTGCGTTTAGCGAAATGAGTATATCGAGTGATATCTATCGCAACCTTAATCCAAGGCCCAGCGATCGATACGAATCTTTACGAATTCGATTCTTTATATACCCATGTTCAACCTTTCGAGAAATGTTCACTGTGAATGATCGCCGGAGAATCTGAAATCGAACGTTCGATCCTGCAGGATTGCGAGAGGTGCGTTTTACAGGGCCGATGTACAATATAACCACTCGGAAATATATAATGTAGTGGTAATTTTTAGAGACCGAAATTTCCTGCACGATCGAACGTAATTCGAATTACATTATACATATTCCTTCCTACAAAAAGAAGTGTAAAATTAGAATTGTTCGCGCGTAGCTTTTTGTACATCGATCGCTTTTATTTATTCAAATGAGAATATTGCATAAAATATGTGAATGGTATCATTAGTATTTACCGAAAATGTGACTTATTTTATACGACGAGAAAACTTTAACTTTTGACATATTTTTCACAATCATTAGAAATTCAACATATCGAGTACATATCATTGTTTAATTCAAAAGATAATTAATGTTAATAAATCATGTGAACAATTCTTTCTGTAGGAAGCATTCTCCCTGGATAATTAGGGGAGGGCAAACATACGTGTGAAAATCATTGTAGATTATAAACGTAATATCGAATGAACTCTGCCGACTATTTATTCTCGTCGTAGCAGTAATTAAACTGGTGAATAAAGACACTTTGTACAATTTTTAATAACGAGATCCTAATTGTTGTAAACGCATCGACTCCGATTTCGCATCATACGTTTCATTGAACGGGCGCACCCGGCGAGGTAAGTCGAGAATGGATCAAGCCGCGTAAATCAAGAACCCTTTCGCTGCAAAAGCCTCTCGAGTAATGTAGATCATGATTAATTCGTATGTAGATCATGATTAAATCGTATTGAGCAATATATGAAATTAAATAAAATTTGTAGTAAACTGAGAAAACTGTTTGCGAAATTTAATTAATCAGATTTCTGTTCGAAACAGAATGTCACAATTAGTTGTCTAGCGAGTAACACAGTTTGATATACGTCAGTAAGCCATAAAAGACAATATTACATAATGTGTACGTCGGTAGTGGTACGAAATACAATTGAATGAGAAGAGAAGAACTTTACTATATTTCTCTGGCGAACGAAAAAGATTTACACAATTTATTCGGGCATCACTCGAGCGTATCCACGTACGCTGGAAGTTTGATTTTCGTTGAACAACGCGTTTTCTCTTTTACCAACTCAAACGAGCTCTATTTTTCATGCGTACGCAGCCAATGGCAGCGGCCCGATCGCACGCTCGCCTCTCTCGCCGTTAGACGCAAACAAAAGTCGAAACTCGGACGCTCCGAGTACACGCGGATTCCGCGTTTGCCGATGGAATTTAATATCTGCTGCCTTCGTTATGGAATACACGACCGTGCTTTTTTCACCCTTTTCCACTCGTCCTCCGCCCTCCCTCACTATTCATTCTTCGCGCTCGTTTCTCAACGCGATCGAGGTATCGGCCGAGAGACACGATCTTTGCTTAAAATACACGATCGAATCGGATGAATTGGAAGAACAAATCGAATTAAATTCTTGCGTTGCGTACACGCCATTGTTATTCGAATGCATCGAGAATTTGGAATTCTTATTCTTTGATCTCCGGCAATCACATTTACTCGTTCAAAAAACACGTGTAAGCAAATTTTATGATTATTTCTCTTTGTTACAAATGTAACATGAATTTTTGTGAATAAATAAAAATTGCGCTCTGAATACAAAAAGCTATAGAACTGAATATAAAAAGATAGTTCATAATCCACAATTATGGGCTATCTTTTTATGAATTAATATTTTCAAATATTTTATTCTCCAAACGCTTGTAAAAGTATAAAATATTAAATTTTTAAATTTGGAATTACATTTTAAAACGTATGCTTGCATTGTACGACATAAAACGATAAATTTATTGGTTATTTCGCGCAAAGAATTCGTATATTTCGTGTGCATTTATCTGTTATCATTGCCAATCGAATAATTTAAGTAAAGTACGTGCGCTCTCCCTCCCTCTTTATCATCCTCTTTCTCTCTCCCTCTTTCTGTCCATTACCACACTAGCCACACTTTAGACAAATATCATCGTTCCAGGCTGCTAAACACGCAGGCGGCGAAATGGCGCACGCCAATCTCTGCGTGCAAATATAAACGGCGAAATGGGTTGTAAATAAGCAGAGTGCGCACATCGGCTAGTACAGGTCAGTTATCTATTGTTATCGGCGGACATATTGACTATTGTACGCGGTCAGAAATACCTTCCCGGCTGTCCCTCTCTTCCCTCGCGACTCTGTATAAATGTCACGCACCTGTATTTAATACATTTGTACATAGCGATTCGTTTTCAATAAACATTTAACGCTTTGATTTTTGTTCTGTTTGTGGTCTCTCTTTCTTACTCTCGCAATCCCTGTCGCAATTGTCTACCTGATGTATGGAACGAAGCTACGAGGCTAAGGTAAGTACATTAGTCATAACGTGTCTCCGCTTTTGAGACGGCGTTAAGTCACCCTGTCACAGATATGCGCGATAATATCGCGCAAGAAGGCCACTGTACATTAACTTCCGTAACGCGAGCGTGCCATAAATTCATTTACTATGCAATATGTGGGCAAATGATGTTATATTTTAATAACATAATCCCGCATTTTTTACACAAATTTTAATAAGCTTTTGAAATTATATCCACTCTCCGGAGAGGTTCCACGGCCGAAACGTAATTATATGAATTAGGTAAAATATCCACTGCGGTAATATCCCTAGCAATATTTCTAAAATACGTCGCTGCGCTGTAAATTATATCTGCAGACGCAACCTTTCCATTATCTCGAGGTATTCGTTCTTATTTCTTCTTATTTCTTTTCCCTTTCCCCGCACCTTTAATTTAAACGGGTTGCACGCTCGAGTTTCTCGATTCGTTGAGGCATTCTTTTTTTTTTCAGCAAAAACATCCTTTAATTAAGTCGCTTCAATTCATTACCGCTGCACGATGTAAGTAGGCTTACGATGCAACGCAGATATTGTTTCAACTAAATTCTCTTGCAAGAAATCTCTTCGCAATGTCGTAAAATTACGAATTTGTACGTAATATCGCGATTGCTCGTCGTTTGCGGTACGTCCAAAATTAAAAAAGCACCTTTATTCGACAGACCATTTTACTTCGGGCTTAAATTCTTCAATAAATCGCCAACGCGTATCGTTGAAATTTCGCGAAAAACGTTCGTGGCCACTTCAAACAACTTTAAATCAATCAAATCGGTTCAACGAATTGGATCGGCATCAATGGCAGTGTCGTGTTTCTTTTAAACTACGCCCGTCGCTATATCGATGCGAGTACACGATAAATTATTACTTTCTCTTTTATCAGTTCCGCTGTCGTAAACTTTTTTTACTGAAACAGTTAATGGAAACGAATTGCGTTTGAGCCATCAACGATTCCTTGTGGCGACACGCACCGAGCGATACCGTCGTTGACAAAGAGCCACAACAGAGTGCGTGTATAATTTGAACACCGGCTTTGCCATGTAGTTATTTCTTCGAATAGTCTTTATCGAGATGGCATCACGATGGATTTGCACGATATGGCTGGGTATCTGATAAGCTCTACAGAGCGAGCGCGAGCAAGGCACTACAATACTTGTATCGCGTGTGCTTTGTGACCCTGCGGGCAAGGGAGAACTAAGGGGCAAGATGTGAGAAGGCTCGAGATGTTAATCCGATGCGAAACACTTCGCCCGCGCCTTCGAATTTTCCCCCGTCCGATCAGATTATGTACGACAGGATACTCATTTCCCCTCAAGTATTTCGACGACCCGCAACGCGAAGGGGCAATTAATAAATCGGGTGTGAGTAGGATGAAAGGCTGTTGGAAGGTTTTCATGTTTTCAACATTATTATTATTATTGTATCCACTAATTTTATTGCAAATAGATGTGTGCAAATCAAGAGATATATTTGATTTAAATTTTTATATGTTTTTATATGTCAATTCCCGACACTCCAAATAATTATAATCAAGTAAACTCACAAGTAAAGCTACCCAACTGTCACTCACCAATCAGAATGAAACTTTGCACACTTATAAAGCATGAAAAAATAGTGAACACGTATGTTTTCATTTTTCCTAAAAACACTTTTTACCCCCTCTACAGTATATGGGCAATATACAAATCGTACCACTTGCATCATGACCGGTATACGGACATCTCAAATAAAAAAACCTAACTTAATTCAATATGACTGAGTGAGTATACCAAGGTTTTTGGGGTCGTTGAATCCAAATCTGTGGTCAAAATAAAAAAGTTCAAAATATTAATACTTACTAAATCATTTAGTTATAGTTACTAAATAATTTTGTGATAAATGTCAAATAATTTGGTAATTATTACTAAACCATAACTAAAAAATTGGTTAATACTTACTAAATCATTTAGTTATAGTTACTAAATGATTTTGTAATAAATGTCAAATAATTTGGTAATTATTACTAAACCATTACTAAAAAATTAAGTATTACTAAATCAGAGATTATTCTTTACGTCGTAATCTCTGATTTAGTAATACTTACCAAATAATGTAGTAACTGTCAGCAAATCAATCAGATAATGCTCTTAAGACAATTTAGTATTAATTATCAAATTCTTCGCTGATTATCATCAAACTTTTCGATAATAAATACTATGTAATTTAGTTAGCTCAACTAAACGCAAAATTTGCTCTTTTAAAATATTTGTAATTATTACCAAATATTATGTTTACCAAATATTATGTTTACCAAATATTATTATTATTATTAATAATAACAACCAAATAATTTTAAAGCATGCATTACTAAATACATCTCACAAGTTTACCTACATTGAAAAAAAGGATTGGTTATAATAATCCAAACTTGGTAAAAATTACTAACAAATAAAGCTACCCAACTGTCACTCACCAATCGAAATGAAACTTTGCACACTTATAAAGCATGAAAAAATAGTGAACACGTATGTTTTCATTTTTTCTAAAAACATTTTTTACCTCCTCTACAGTATATGAGCAATATACAAATCGTACCACTTGCATCATGACCGGTATACGGACATCTCAAATAAAAAAACCTAACTTAATTCAATATGACTATCAGTGAGTATACCAAGGTTTTTGAGGTCGTTGAATCCGAATCTGTGGTCAAAATAAAAAAGTTCAAAATGGCGGATCCAAGATGGCGGGCAAATCCTGATAAATTTTCCAAAATTCAGAATGGGAGAACTAATATGTCTAACCAACTCGATATCCTAATTTTGGAATTTTAATATCATATTCAGATTCAACGACCCCAAAAACCCCCGAGTAACAAGTTTCAGGCAAATCCGATCAATTTTTAAAAAATTGCCCGCCATCTTAGACACAAATTAGATAAGATTTTTAAAAATTTCTGGACTCTATATAGATATAATTTCTACATAGAGATATTATCGACAAAGAATACAATAATTATATCAAATAATCTCGCGTATATAATGATAATAATCTAAACGTTACGTCAAAAAAACAGATTTCAGCAGAAATTTAGTTATCCTTGTTGGAAACTCAATATCTTTTTGTCGTCTCAAATTCTGACAAAACTTACAAGATCCTTCTTATATTATTGTAATATCTGTTTTTGCTCATCTCTAATATTAGCCAAGTAACGTACAATGAATATTTGAATATTAATAAGAATTAATATTCAACTTGTCAGTATATTTTCAGATGTCAGCAAAGAAACATTTGGTATCACATTCGTATCAAAAATACAATACTTATATTCTATCAATAATATACTTTGCGTAAGAAATAGGAAAAGGTTCATCATACTAATTGAAACAAGAATATTCTCCAGTAATAGAAATCCGCATTAAAAATTATTCTATAGCGTTTTTTCTCTAATAAAAAAAGTATCACGCTAATCTAAAAAAAGCTGCAAGTACTCTATTAAGTTGTTATAAAAAGATAGCAGAAACGACAAAAATACCAAGAACAAGTGCTCGGTTTGTAAAAGCGTCGAGCGTCCAGATATATACAATATTATACATACATCGAGAGCTACAGTCAAAATGACGGAATTTATCTCTCCTATTTTTGGTTGAAAAAAACAGCGCTTTTTCAACTGTTCCAACGCTCTTCTCGTGTAATTTGCTTTTTATTATGCAGACATATTTCTATTTCGCGCGCTACGATTACTCTGCTCGAAGAAAGCAGAAAGACACGATTGATGCTAATCCACCATGAAACATTTCACCCGTGGTCCTGCCCTTACCACTGCCGTTGTCCTGCGGGATTATGAACGGCGGGATACTACGTTCCCGACAACGTACGATAACAACCCGGAAACTCGGCCCCAAGGTAGCGACGAGGGAATGAAGGATTGCTCCGCTCCAGTCGATCCTGCACAATCAATACAGGGTAGGTTGGCTCCCACTACTACGGAGATCCAGCCATGGCTTTACATAATTATGTATCCTAGAATCTAATCAACTTAATCAAGGAAATTAGGCGTAGATTATCGCACATTTTGGAATAATCTAATATCCACGCATATTCTATATTACTTCGATATTGTTTATCACAAAGATAAATATAACTCGATGAGTCGGCAACATTGTTTCATAAAACCACATTTAATGTATGCACTTTATTTGTACTTTATTTTATATGTAACAATTCACTGATATTTTCAAAATAATAGAAATGTTACCATTTATTGTAAATAACAATAAATCTGTATTCTATATATGGTTCGATATTTTACAATAAAAATTCGAGAAAGTTGTTTTCGACCGCAAATAATAATTTCTCGAAGTTTTTTTTTTTTTTCAACACATGTAAACGATTAAAATGATTAATTCTCACGTTTTTATATTGCACGGCTAATAATTATTACTAAATGTGTTCAATGCACGAAGATGGATTGGCTAGCTAAATTGTTACGTTTCCATGATATCAGTTACTCTCCTATTATTCGCGTCTCGTTATCGCTACCAGCGAGCGAATAATTTTCGTTATAAATGGGAATTGTTACCCATGCTGAAAACGGCATTCAGACAGGAAAAATTGCGTCAAATTTGCACGATTCACATCGTAGTGTTCGAACGCTGCGTGTTTTCGAGTATAATACGAGCGTTTAAAATGCGTAACAATGATATTGCCGATCTATTATTAAATTTCTCTCGTTTTCCGGTGTATAGTCTGATAAATATAACTGTTTGATATTTCTTTTTTTTTTTAGTTTTCGTGTATCACTGTTTACCAAAATAATGAAAGAAGTAACGAAATATGACGAATTTTGATATATATATACTGTCAGTATATATTATCTTATCAATCCAATTTATCCGCCGAATAAAAAATATCGCTTTACGTCAAATGGAAGCTCTAGTAATTTAAACAATTGGATAGCTGTTATAATAGAACAGGGCAAAAATCAATTATAAGCGCGGAAACCCAAATTATTTTACAATAATGCAAACGTTTCGGTCTATATTAGACAACTCTCAGTGTAACAGTTTAATAAATTGTATGATTTTGATATCTAACATGTTTAAAAATACAATTTGAAGGTAGCATTGCTAGATCAATTTTATTTCAGCACTTTTAACATTTAATTCCTCGCAACGAAACGACCAAACAATATTTCAATACAAAATAGATGTGTCTTCTATTAAGAAGATAGACGTGTTTCTATCTTTTTTTTATTTTACGTTTTAATAAATTGCATGGATCTGTGCTTCGTAATAATTGTGTTTCAAGAATTATCATATCGTCAATAAACAATGGGCCGATATTGGCTGTAACTTCTTAGTGAGCGAAGACGGAAACGTTTATGTTTATATTTACGTTAATATTTTTCAATATATTTCTCTAATGTTTCTCTATCCGTTTGATCGAACACAAAGAGAGCGCTGTAACGCAGTGGACGCTGTAATTAATTTGATCTCTCCTGTAGTACAGAACGGACAAATAAAGAGTAATTACAGCTTTTTTGGACATAGGCAAACCTGACAAACTGCATGTTCCGTCTTTGAGATCGTCTTTGCACAATGATTCAATTGTGGCCTCATTGGTCGCAATCCAAATAATAAGAATTATTTTCAAAGTAAAAAACGTAACCAAAATGTTTCTATCACTCGCAATCAGAAAGGTTATAAACTACGATTTCGAAATGAATCAACAACAGGTATGTTAACGAATATTATATCTAAGATTCATGATTTTATGGATTTTGACTGCGTAAGTATTAAAAATCTACATTATCATAATATCATACTACATATGTCTCTTTGCTAAATTTGTTTATTCTATATTTTTAGAGAAATAAACCAAGCAATTTTAAAATATGATTTAATTCAATTCTATATTACAGTCATTAATATGCTTGTCATTATGTCTTGTCTGTTACATCACTTGTAAAATAATAATTTAATATAATTGCTACTTGACAATTATATACATAATTTTCGTCTAATCATTATACATAAATAGTAACACGACTATCAAAAATGGAATTTAATGAGTCTATCACGTTGTTGACGCAAATTTCCAATCCCGAGAAATCGAGTTGAACGTCTTTTCTTCCACCAATAATCTGGTCTCTTATCTATGATAGAGTAAATATTCAATATACGCAAATATGCGACAAATAGAAATATCACTGTCAAGCCTAAAATATAATGTAACAGATATGGTTACGCACCTCCAGCGGAATACGCATCCCAAAGTGCTCGTTTAACTCTTCTATGCATACTTTCGTTCCGTAAGAAATACCAGAATTTATGTTACCAGCGACAGTGACAAATTTACCGCGATTATCGAGGTACTTCTAAAACGAATTTTAATATAGTAGAAAGAATAATGCAAATCGTATTTGCAAATTATTTTCGCGTTCAATGCTATATTGTGTTTGCGTCACGGTACCTGTAAAGGACGCGCAAGTATTCCTCGAATGTCTTTATGATTGCGTTTGCCGATACACCATGGACAATAATATGCAGAAACAGACACGTTATGGTAAGCAGTTCCCTCGCACTTCAGATCCGACCTGTTCAAGTTCGTCTCCTAACATCAAATGACAAAGCATTAAACATTCAAACAAAATTTGACACTTACAGAATTTAATCACTAGAAATAAATCTTTTTTTACGCCAGTAATATAGAAATTATTAAAATTAAAATTACTTACGGAGGCCAAAACCATGGCAAAAAGAAAAAATACGAAAATTGATCCAAACATTTTAGTCTTCGTTTTTCGGTAACACAACTTATAAGTACCTATACTACTTATTGTCAGGACGTCGATTCGCGACATAACGCGTGAGAATGACCGGAACAGCTGTGTGCTGTACTTTATATACTGTCTTGTGTATACTTTATTATGTACAATTTGTCGTCGAACGATCGTGTCCTTGAAAAGCTGAGTCATCTTATACCAGAGTGATCGAAATTTGCTAACAGAGCTCAATTTTATTCAATCACACCTCAGTATAATTATAATAAATAAAAAAAGAATTGCTGCACACAGCACACACACGCACATACATATGTTATCTTTCAATGTAAATTGTTCGCATATTGCGTAATATTGCGTGATCAATCATATCGTGTGAAATTAATTGCAGAACTTTTTCTTAAGCAGCGCAATAATTACAACACGTTTGTCTAATCTATGTTTTAGCATATTTAAATAGAATTGAATAAAAAATTAGACTTGTCTAATCTGTGTCACTCTCAGAATACATCATAATATTAAATCAACGATATCGTAGAGTATATTGAACAAAACGTCAAACAATTGATCTAATATCGCAAATCTGAAATAGAACATGAAATATCCGTTTTCAGAATAAAGAATATCGCATTTAGTATCAAATTTCTCGTATCAAGAAACAAGTCATGCGATTGTCAAATTACAATAAAGAAAGATGTCAAATATAAACACACGATGCTTCTTAAATAAACAGAAAAATATCACTGTTGGTATTATTTGACATTTCTCAAAATTTTTCGTACCTTTCAAAGTTTTTTTCTGGAAGATTGTAGTCAGGTTATCTGACTATTACTTAAACTATATTTACTACTGAACTCTCATACAATTGCACGGACGGATGCTGCCGCTACGTTGCAGCGAAAGATAATCGATCGCTTATGGTAGCTGTAAATTCCCGCGCGTGTACCGTAGGAAATATCACTCGTGGCAATAACCAATTCGTTGTAACGCTGGAAAATTTCATTTCCACCCGTCGCCAGAAAGCGGGAGTACAGAAAGGGTCGTTAAATATATCGCTATAATATACAATCTGCCGTTAGAAGCGCGCGCGAAAGTCACCGGTAAAACGCGCTAAATTTAGCTAATCTCCGCCGAGTAAGCGACACGCGAAGTCGCACAGTGTTGCATTACTCGGCGTTGTTTATAATTTATTTTGACGTGGTCGAATAACGGCAAACCGAAATTTCCAGGCAAACGCGCTCTCGCTCTCATGTCATACGCGGCCGCGTATCGAATACTCGCTGTTTGGAGAGATTCTAAAATGTTATTTACTTCAATCACTACGTATCACAAAATATTCTGTACTCGTTCCCGTTAAAACAGAGACGTAACGTATCCACCTAAATATTTCGATGCAAATATTCGGTTTTTATGATTGTCTGCATTCCAATGCGTGCCGGGAAATGGAGGCGACTTGCATCGCACTCCTCTTCGATGTTTATTGGAAACGAAAAAAAAAAAGAAAAAAAGCAAAGTTGCGCGGTAATATATTCTTAACATACACATACACATACGGTAATGAATTATATTAAACGTCGCCGAACCAATAATAATCCGTAATGACCCCAGTTAGCTCGGTGCTAGGCCAACTGCACCCGCGGGTTTTATTATATATTGGAGAATACACGACATAGGGGGAGGGAAGGGATTTTGTGAAGTACCAGACTCGCGTCCACATTAATTTTCTTAATTTGAAAGTAACAACGGCTGCTTGTGCCGTTTGCACCTGCTGCTTCGGTGTAACGAAGAGGAAAAGAGACACACATAGGATATATTATACGTTATTTCATTTAATTTGAATGCACGGTGTATTATATTGTATAATA